CTTTTTCAAAAACAACAATCTTTTAGTTGGTAGATGTTACTGTTTGATACTGAGTTTATTGATCAGGTTTAACTCTTTACTTTGTTATTAGTTTGTTTATAAGTTTTAACTCTTTCATTTCTTCTTAGTCAGTGGATAAGTTTCATTTTTTTAAAAGAAAAAACACTTTTACTCTCTTCTCAGTTTGTATATTAGTCTTAACGCTTTCATTTTTTATCAGTTAGTTGGTAAGTTTACTTTTTCAAAATTTTTTATAACTCTTTCAGTTCCTCTTAGTTTGTAAATAAGTTTTAGCCCTATTTTCTTATTAGTTTGTAGTTAAGTTCAAAATCTTTTGTTAACGCTTTCATTTCTTCTAAGTTTGAAGTCTTATGTCTAGAAGGTTCAACTCATTTTGTGACGTAGATAAGTTTAAACTCTTTCGATTCCTATTAATTGATTGATAAGTTTCCTTCTTAAAAATCTTGTAGTTGGTAGGTAACTCCTTCATTTCCTCTCGGTTTGTAAATTAGTTCAAACTCTTTCATTTCTTATCAGTAAGTTGGTATTTTTCCTTTTTCAAAAGAAAAAAATCTTTTAGTAGATAACTCTTTCATTTCCTCTCAGTTTGTAGATAATTTTGAACTCTTTACTTCCGTAGTAGTTTGTAGTTTAAAATCTTTTTCTTATGTAGATAAGTTTTAAGTATTTCATTTCTTAGAGTTGGTTGCTATGTTTCCTTTTTCAAAAACAAACAAACAAACCAAAACATTTTTCTTACATGCTAGATAACCATCGTTTCCTCTTGGTTTGTAGATAAGTTTTAATGCTTTCATTTTTTATTAGTTGGTTTCCTTTTCAAAAAAAAAGAGAAAAATCTTTTAGTTAGTAGATAACTCTTTCATTTCTTGTAGATGATGTTTAACTCTTTTATTTCTTAGTTTTTAAGTTTTCAGTCTTTTATTCATCCTTTCATTAGTTAGTAGAAATGTAGAAAAAAAACAAAAAATTCTCCACAAACTCACAACAAAATAACCTCAGTGTGTAGATGGTACATTTGTCTAAATATTAGACTAGACACTTACTTTGATAAACTTCTTCAACATATCTAAAAAATGTATTTTCAAAAAAAAGTAATGGTGAGCCTGCACCTCTTTTCTTGAAAATAAGCAGAAAATGTAAAATCATTTCATTTCACCAATGTGATTAAAAAACATAATATTTAAGTATGAAGTATTTATTGAGATATTTAAAAATAAAGTGTTATATAAATATTTCTATTTTTAATAATGTTCTAATCTATTGAGACCAAATTGTTAGAACTTCACGACAGGTAAAGGGTTTTAGAGATGTTTTCTCCTACAGTTCGTATGTTGCTATAATGACAGACTACTTTGGTAAAGTTACCATTTTGCACTAAATGGATTTTTTTAAATGAATGATATCAGTAAACATTTATTAGGTGTCTGAAGTGATTGCATGTCACACTGACTCCACCCACTAGAGGTCAGGAGTGCCAAGTTTCAAAGTCGCTCTGATGATGTTAATTTACTGTATGAATCTCGCAGCCTGACCTGACCGGAGCGACGTGAACTTCTCACGTGAACACAACATATAATTTCATAAAGATCTTAAATAGTCCTCCAACAGTTATAAAGATGCTCGCAGCTCATAGTTATAGTATCAGTACTTCATGTGTTTTTTAAACTAATTTCATTTGATTAAATCCTTGTGATCAGCAAAACTAATTAAGGTTTCTCTTTGTAGTTTGTTTTCTAACGCTTTGAGTTTGCAGCAGAAGGAAACAGCTTTATGAGGGTCTGTAGGGAACTTTCCATTTGATTCCTTTCCCCCGGGTTTTTCTTTTTAGAATTTAGTCTGTAATCATTACTGATGAATCTTTTTAATTTGGTTATATCTTAATATGTTATCTGATGAGCATTAGAAAGAAAGGGCAAGAAGCTGTAGAACCTTGTTTGAAAGATGGTTAAACTACATCCCTATATGAAACAGTAACAACATTGTCAAAGGGTTAGTGAGCTTAAAACCTTCCTGATGAGTTCTTTCCTTCAATTATAAAATGTGAACATTATAGAGGATTCAACACATTTAAAGTTGTTATAACACAACAAATAAAGTCTAGAAACCTTTTGTTGTTACTCTAGCCTTTTCTTTTTCAGTATCCACATTTGTTTAATACAAGAATATCACAGACCTCGTGAGTTGACCCCACCATAACTCACATCCACTTTCTGTTTGGCTCAGGTGTGTGTGTGTGTTTGTGTGTGTGTGTGTGTGTGTGTGTGTGTGTGTGTGTGTGTGTAAATTTCAATTTTAAGATTTTCTCCCAGCTGTTGATGTTTTGAAACTTTTGAAAGCTTGAGCTGCTGAGTTGAGAGGAAATGATGAATTTAAAAATGATTTGGGAGAGCTAATGTAGTTTTAAAGCAGCGTGCAATTATTTTATTTCACCTAGCCGTTAAATACTTCACTGTGTTGACTGGCTGTTTGGTGCCGGGCAAGTGTTCATCAAAGCTTTTTCACTGAAAACACTGCTGTTAAGAGTGGAGTTTGTGGGCAGATAAAACCAAACCAAAGACCTCAGACAATAAAAAGCTCAGTGGAACAGAGGGGAACTGCAGATGTGCTGATAATTCTGTTTGTGACTGCGATCAAAACATTTCACATTACCGTATTTTGATCCACAAACAGAAATATTCAGACTGACTCAGTTAACTAAGAATTTTAAAGGAGCTGTTTTATTGTCGCTACATAGCTAGCGTTAGCATTAACAGCTGTTTGCTTACCAGTCTAGAAGAAACGTTGTGAGTTCCGCATCAAATTTTATTCCTTTACTCACCAACAGCTGTCTCCAGGAGGGGAAAGCAAACCTCTTGTGTTGCTTCTATTTCTGTCACTATTTTCTTCTACTGAGGTTAGCATGCCTTTCCGATACTGAGTCACTGTAAGGTCCAGTCTGCCTTGAAGAAGTAGCGCAGCTCAGGGGACGTATTATAACCTCCTGTCTTGTAAAATAAACAATGGCTAAAGCTCTTGGCGGGATTGGTAATTAAACAACAGTTAAAGTTAACGCTGGCTTGCAAAACTTACACATGTCTCCTTTAAGGGAGCACAGATTCTCAGATTACTCTGTTATTCAAACAGACAAGACACATAAAGATTCAGACTCCACACAGAACACAGATTGATAATAAACTTTAATTTCATGTTAAGATGGATGGCTGTGGAACATAGAAAACACACATTTCAGTATTAACATATGCATTCCAATGGAGTTCAACAGGTTGAGACCAGCTATTAGGAGTCAGTAGATGAGCATCTTAGCAGCAAAGCTTAAAACACATTAAGCTTAAACAGAACAGTGAATCTACACACTGGTGCTGTGGGAAATGGAAAGTCTCTCAGCTCCTGGATTCTCTGCGCTGTGAGTCTGCTGATGAATGTTTAATCACAGGTGTCGACTCTGTAGCCGGGTTCTGAGGAAGGACTTGGTCTTCCTGGATGCTGAGATTCAGAATGGCTGAAGGGAAGATGTTTCAATGTTTTTTTTTTTTTTTTTTTGTCTGTCTGACTGATAGTTGGGGCCGATTGGAAAGGTAGGTAGACAAATATATCTGGAAAACCTAACACAACATTTGACCTCAGTCGCACAGTAAAATCATTCACGCAGCTCTTAGCCACTTTGAAGATTTATCACTTAGCCCTGGTCCAAGACCTGTCACACAATGAATCATGGTCCAGGATCATCATCTCCATAACCCAAGACACTTCAGTCACTGAGCAGCTTAAAATCTGTTACTGCCACCCTGACAGAAACAGTGTACAAAGGCGACTACCATTTTGTTCAGTAGTAGTATTTACTGTAATATAGACCCGTTGTCAGTGGCAGCATTGAGCTCTGTGGACTCATAATAAGTGTGCTTGAGAAAGTGGTTGCAGATCAGCCTGTAAACACCGGAATAAATGTTTTTTTCTGCCTTTTTTTTAAGCTGAATTTGTGCAGATATTATAAACATCCTACAACTCATCATCAATCATTGGTAACCTTCATTTCAACAATCTCAAAATCTTATTGACCCATAGTTTTTCCATATACTCCAGCCAGTGAGTGTAAAATAAACCCTGTGTCATTTTGCTTTTGCAGCCCTTATAAGACTGTAAGAGGACTGCCAGCCATGTGGTGCCTTCATATTTTCAACATTCGTCCAGTATCTAATTTTATGAGCTGCTCAGTGACTGAAATGTCCCAATAACAAAAGCTGGTTGATCCAGGATCAGGGCTAGCGTTCACCCTGCTTTACAAAGCCACAAAGCCTGCATGAATTTCATTTTAGGGGTTTGATGTACGTGTTCTGTTATGATTTTAATGTCCCATATGAAAAGGTAAATACTTTTCAGTACAACATGGAAGTGATTATGGTAAATTTATTAAACATCAGCACAATATATTGGCTATCAGCAACTTTAATAAAGAAAAAAAAAAAAGTTCCAGCCTTCAGAAACCTTATGTAAAATCTTAAAACATGCCCATCACTGTTACAGTAAATGGTGCCGAGTAAGTTCGAGTGCATCCTCAGAGTCTCAGTATTATGTACAAACACCTGGGTAGATGATAAACAAGTCAAACCCACACCCACAAATGAACTTAACAATTTTTATTAGCAATATTTGAAGAAAGTTATAATTTTTGTTAAATCTTATATTGAGTTCATTTTGTCATTTTATTATTTTCAACATGAACCGCACAAGATAAGACTCACGAGGATAGATGTCTAGAAAATGTTTAGCACGAGCGCACTGACTTGTCGGATTTTTTTTTTCTTTTATCTTTTAAGTTCATTTATTAATGGCCTGCTTAAAGGCACTGCCACAATACAGGGGGTGGGAAAAAGCTACTGTCCATCACTCACACAAGACAGTCCATTCTAGTGTCTAGTATACATGGGGGCTCGGGGAGGGGATGGGGGGGGGGGGGGGGAGGGAGGGGGGGGTTGGGGGGTTAGCGGGTGGGGCTGCTATAGGTAAATTTCATAGAAATCATCCAGCTCCTCGTGAAACAAGTCCCACTCATCCTCTGAGTCTGTCACCTCGTCGTCGGTTCCTGCGGCGAGCAGCATGAGGAGCATCTCGCTCAGCTCAAACGTTACCATCTCCTCATCCTCGTTGTCGAAGGAGTCGGTGCTTTCCCTCTCGTCGTAGATGTCCCACAACGGCGTTCGCCTCGAGTTCTGAGGGGGAAAGTCAGACGTGTGGACATTTTATACTTGGTGAGTCAGACTCGTGAGATAAATTTACATTCCACTGTACAGTACCTGTTTCCTGCCTGCGAAGAAGGAAAGGAAAAAAACATTAAAATAACCTAACCCTAACATTTATTTATTTTTTGTAATTCTTTTGATTTTTCTCTCCATCTCAATAAATCCAAATATACAAGTCATGTATCTAAATTTATAGCAATAAGAAAAAGCTGTCAGTCGTTCTCTGCAGAAGTGTATGCCGTCATGTTACGTTATCTTATGGCGTGTTATGTGTCGTTATGTTATCACTTTCTTTGTCTTCATCTTGATTCACCAAATAAAAATAACAACAATAAAAGAAAAAACATGTCATTTCCTGATCATTTTGACTTCCCATCTCAGAATCTTGATTTAAAAAGTAAAAACTTACACAGAAAGTCAAACTCTTACTGAGCTAAATCACTCAACAATTTAACTTAGTAGCTCATAATCTTGTAATCTTGATTTAAGTATCTCAATATTTATGAAGTAAATCAAAATTTTTAATTCTGACACTTTTAATCAGTGTTTCCTCCCTGCCAGATGTTGCTTCTTTATCTACACTAGGAGAAGAAATTATCATCAAAACATCAACTGACATTATACGATACTAATTATAAAATGAAGTATAATGTTTATGAAAGACTGAATTCACACAAGCTTGATTTAATGAGGGGAGACATCATGGTCTGATTTGCATCACAGATCTGTTCAATATTTCTCACTGAAGTATGCACTGGTGTGAATATTTTTCATTTCATTTATTATTAACAGATTTAACAGACAGAAACACCAGTGAGCGACAAGACAGACAGAAACCTCCTGTAATCATTTACAATCTGGACTCCTCTGGACGAGTTCTGTTGATTTTTGAAGTGAAGCAGCAAACACACATTGAATTGAGCCTTTCTTATGAAATATTAATGCTCTGTTAGTTTTTATTTCATGACCTTAAAAAGTAAAAACTGCCACAATACATGGCATGTGCAAAAGTTTGGACCCTTTCATTAGTGCAGCACTCAGGCCTTTAACTCGTTGAGCCTTAACTGACTGACACCATCTGAACTGGTGAAGGAGGAGCAGGAAGTCATATGATTGCAACTAAATCCTGACTCTTCAAACCTCAGATAAAACTGCGGCTCTGCCAGGCAGACAGACAAAACAAAACCTCCACATGACTAAACGACCTGCAGGAAGGTTTAGCTGACACTGTTGAGTGTGGTGGCTCCCTGTCCCACTGTGCAGTGTTGATGCACATACAAGGTCTAAATGGAAGAGTTATCAGAGGAGAAACCTAATCTAAGACCTAATCAATGTCAATGGCTGAAGTCAGCAAAGAAACATCTGGATAGACCAGAGTCACAATCACCAACGATGTGTTAGAGAGGGAAGACTGGGTTCCACTAAACTCAGCAAACTCAGCAAACTCTGGAAGAACATGTCCAGAAACTGAAAAGAGTCTGACAATGATCCACTAATGATCCTACTAAAATCTCAACATGAACTACTTGAAGAAACATGAACTGAAGCTTTTGGAAGAAGCAACACAAACCACTGACTTACACATCACTGTTAATGTGGGTAGATATTAAACGTGCTGTACATGAAAGACGGCCTACAAATATCTCAGTAAGTTGTAAGTAGCAGTAGTAAGATCTGATTTAGCCCAAACTTTTGCATGTGCAACAATTATCGTTTAATTTTTTAAAGTTGTTTTAAGTTTTTAAATTCATGAAATAAAACTTTGAACATTTGAAGAAATGTAACTGCTGAAGTGTGTTTTATGCAGCATTTACTTCTTTTTACTTTGTATATTAATAAAATATAGAATTTGTCCAGAGCTGCCCAAACTGTCTCATGCTGTAACTAAAACTCAATGATTCTTACAAAAGGTTTTAGTGAAAACAAAGGAGGAGATGTGGTTAATTAAACAGCCCATCACATAAACAGACACGTCACTGTTCACCAAAGTTACAATAAACAAGATCCTGTTCTTATGAGGATGACTCATCATTAGAACATGACATGACAAAACAAGCTGCTGATCGTGTACAAGGTAATAAACACAAATACAATTGTAATGTAATTGTAAATAAACGTAATTTAAAATTTCATTTTGACTTGGCTTCATTTTTTTATTCAAATTTTGTCATAAAGCCTGCGACACTACTGCCTTTATATATTTTGACTGCTGATGACTCAGAGAATCAGAGAGGTCATGTTTGAGTCTGCAGCTTGTGGTGAGGTTGTACTAGACAGTAATATATTATAAGGCAGTGGTTGGTCACTGGCGGCCCGTGGGCAAAAACTGAGAGTGAATGACAGACACAAACAGTCACATCAGGCTGCACTGTGGTCAGTGCACAGCACTTGGTGATAAAATAGATCTCCATCATGGCAGCAACAGTTACCCACAGAATCACTTTCTCTTTAGCCATTTTGCCAAAAATATAGCACAAGAAAGTTTTTTTTTTTTTTTCCTTATTTCAAGGTATTGTGAGCTTTAATTCTGAAAAGTTCTGACAGGAAGCTCCAAAGGTTCTGTTGCTTACTTGACAGACCTCTGAAACAGCGGACATGATGTGCGATATGAAAAAAAAAAAAGACCAGTAAATCAGTCAAACATATATTATGTGACTGTAACATGTGAACAGTAACAAAGTTCATTCTAGTTGAATTTTTATCAATTTCTTAAATTAGCCTTTGATTACGTTCTGACCGTCATCTAATGGATTAGACAAAAACGTACTTGCCGCCCCCTGTTACAAGGCGATCCCAGTACTCACTTAACATGTAAAGAACTTACTCTACAAATACAGAACATTTTGGGGTAGATTTTAAGGTAGTATTTTTTTGCACAGTCCCATCTGATTTATTTCTGTTTTTCTGGTTACCCTGCACCCTACTGTTATTACATGTTCTACTTTCCACGTCCAGCAGAGGGTGCTCCTATGGAGACAAAGCAAAGCTAATGTCTTTTGACTGTGTTCGCGTGAGTATCTGAACTACTATTGAAAACTTTGGCCATCAGGGAAACGCAGACTGTCACACTCCTGGTAGCACTGGTGTGTTTCTTGCTGGTACTTGTACTTGCTGATGAGAGGATTTTAGGAGCGAGTTTTAAAGTTACCCGGTTTCTGCTGTTGGATCCGGTCTGTCTTCTCTGGGGCTGAGCTTCCTCCAGCCGTCCGTCGGGGAAGGCGTGCTTGTAGAAGCAATTCGAGCCAAAAGGGCACGTTCCACGACCCTCGTCAAAGTATCGACACGGTTTACTCCTGGAGGATCCAAAAGGGAAACCAGACAACACAACACACACACACACACGTTAGATCGTCTCAACATAAAATTCAAAAACACACCAGAGGCATCAAGCAACACTAATCATTTTTTTTTTTTTCCCCCAACTCTGCCTCCCTCCACTCCCGCACACACATCCACCCACAACAGCTTTCTATTCAAAATCTCTCTGCTCCATCCTGCAGGGAAAATAATGGATTTTTAATTGCTGATACTCAATTGTTCAGTAAGGCAGCTCTAGAAGACTAAATTTAAAATAAGGCAACAAAAAAGATTGTGTCCCTGTTTCCCACAGCATATCTAAAGCAGTTGGTAGAAATCAGGCCTCAGTGAGGCAGTGATACTCTTATTGTTTACGTATGGATGTGAATCTTCTACAGTCCCATAGTATAGAAATGGTGTGTGTACCCCATGCCATCCTTGTATTTCTGGATGAGTTTCTGCTTGTCATCCTTGTCTTCCACCCAGTACTCGCTCGGGATGACGAAGTTGGACGTGATTCGACACTCGGGGCAAGACCTGCAGAGAGTCAAAGAACGCTGTGGTCAGGTACAAGCACTGAGAGTCGTAAAGGACTAGCTGTGTAGTCATTAGGCCTCGGCCAGTGAGACATCAGCCCTGTTCACACCTGCAGTAACATAAATTCATCACTACCGACAGAAATTAGTTGTCCACCTCTGAATGTGGTCTGAGTGATCGGTCTCAAATGCTTCCTCAATATGTCTTGGGTGTGTTCACACCAGAACTTAGAGCTAACCACTTGTGATCGGATATTACTACCAGGTCTGAACAGGGCCACCCTAACCATAACAGAACCCACCCTGTCTATTCACAATACATTGCTGCTTTGCAAATATAGATTTTAGCAGAAAGAAATTCTCATAAATAACTACATGAGAGAAATGTGTGAGATTTTGAGCTTGATAAATGATGTTCAGAAATGATTTCAAAGCTTGCGACTGTCAACTTCTGTAAATTTGTGAAAACTGGTATAAAAGGCATCTGAAGATTCTGAGATAAAAAAGAAGTTTTACCAAAAAACAACTTACTTAGATTTTCTCAGGAAAGGGTCTATTATTTATCAACCAGAGCTACAGATTTAGCCTGACAGTGATCCAACCTACAATCTACTGAAGAAACAACACACTTCAGTGTCTCATAAACAGATAGAAACTCTCCAGAGAAAATCTCCCCTCACTGTTCAAACCCTAATTTGTCACAATGTGACTCACTTGATGATTTTGCTCTCAAACTGCTTGGCGCTCCTCCACTTGCGAATGCACTTTAGACAGTAGCAGTGACTGCAGTTGGAGAGGATGCCGAAGCGACGCTCACTTGGGTTGGCCTTCTCAAACACCACCTCCATACACACGCCGCACATCATGTCCTTGCTGCGTTGGATGGCGAATGAAATCTCCATGTCTTTCTCGTGGGCCTCGATGCACGCCTGGGAGAGAGGGAACAGTTAAATCATCAAACCACAACCTTGTCTTCATTCCACCGCGGTACTCAGATGCTTCAATAAACATCTCACAGACACAACTGTGTTCTGTGCTCAGGCTGTGTTCAGATGACAGAAGCACTTCATTAGAAAACACAGCCTCCTCTTTCATTCAAATTAGACCATTATACCGACGCAGCTGTGGCGCTCGTTTGGCAAAAAACCTGAACCGGGCTCAAGTTTTGCTGCAAATCAATGTCAATCAAGAAATCACTGTGTCAGCCAATTAAACACGTGTTAACAGCAGTAGATGACTTCATAATGTGAATGACATTAAGCTACAGTACATGTTGTTATTGTTGAGATACGAGGATGAAATAACTCTCCAGGTATTATAAACTGCTGTGCAGTGATCTGGTGTTTGATAAACCTTCAAACTGAGGGATGGATTACTCAAACTGGATCATATTTCATCCTCACATTAGTACCTGATAGAACTAACACTAAATTGTGTCATAATTAGTGAATGAATTTGTGAATTATGGACGAAACCTCACAAAACACTTATGTGAGGTAACCGTGTGACAGAGGTGATGAATTTCCCTCTGGGCGTTCCTGATATATTACATTCACAGGAACGTGACCATGAACTTTAACCACCAAAATCTGATCAGTTCATCCTCGAACCGAAACAAACAGAACCGTGAATTCAAAACTGAGGTATGCATTGTAATGTGCCTTTTTTTTTTTTTTCCAATGTACACCCCTACTCCTGCGCCTTTTTTTACTGTACTGTACTGTGATGTGTCCAAGTGCTAGTGCTGCTGCGCTGCTCTCCTTAATGATACCCTATAAGTGCTGAGCTGAGAGCTGGTGAAAGTGACTCTGAGATCTGATGCCTGGATTGTCAAAATACACAAATTCACTGAGCTCCAGTGCTAACACAATACAAAACATTCAGGCAGCAGATCCTTGATTTGCGAACCTGTGTCTGGACTCGGAGGTGATTTGCGAGAGGAGCAGCTCAGCTCTGTGACACCACTGTACAACAGTGAGTGTTTCTGTAGTTCAAACAGCAGAGTGAGGAGGCTGATCCCTTCATGTCAACTGAAGGAGTCGCTGGCTCTTCAAAATGCAGCTGCCTTACAGAAAGGTTGCCACGACAACAAGTCTGAAGTCACCTGTTAACTCAGTTTGGCAACAGTAGCTATGAAATCTAGATATTCCACAGATTCCAAAAAAAGGCAGAGGAATGAAAACACTGAAAACAATATCAGTGACAGGTATGAAGGTATTCTGTGTGTTACTGTAATCCTCCTCTAACGATTCCACTGTGCTGCTGGACATACTTCATGTGGATCACCAGCAGGTTGTGTCTGTAACCATTACCTTAGTGTGCTCAGAGCGCTGGTTGTTGTCAGTGGGGTGGAGCACCTGAAGGCCGCACATATCACACACGTCGCCGTGGAGATAGGCACAGTTGATTCCGTAGCGGCACTCACCGACGGCGGCATACGGACAGAGCTGCTTCCTCAGCTGTTTGTTGTCTGGCGCCGGGTCACTGTCGAACTCCTCGATGAGTGGGACGGAGCTCTCCACCTTCGCTTGCTCAGCTGGAAACCCGTCATTACACAGACACAAACATTTATTTGTTAAGTTCATCAGCAAACAATAATGCTCACATGCTTTTCCCCCCATCCAGTGAGGAGAATCTGATCTGAGGACACACCTTCCCTTTCGCCTGCGCTCAACTTGTATTTACCGGACAGAGTCAGGCAGGCCTCAAGATGCAACTTCACCAACCTTTAAACTTTAACTTGGAGGTGAAGTCATGATCCCAGTTACATTTTCAGACAGTGAAAGATGCAGGACATTATAAAAGTGTCATGTGTGCCTCAGGTTCAGTTGACTTACTCACTTATTAGAAACAAACCAAGGTGTTAGCGACAAACCGAGTCTTTTTCAGGTGGTCCTGGTCTGAGTTTTTTTTTAATCCATTTTTTCACACAAGCTTAAATGAACTCAGCCAGATAGACAAATATACAGGAGGTTGTTTGAATTGCACCAAAGAAAGTTCACTGAGTGCAAATCCACCTCCAGCCCAAATATTGTGAGATACGATATTACTGCTGGGGTGGGGTGGTTATAATATAATTGTATTATTGTGTTTTATGTTTCATGTATAAATGATGCTACCACTAAACATCAGTTGAAAGTTGTATTTGTCACATGCTGAGGTTCAAAGTTACGATGGAACATTAAGGCCACATTGAGGAAAATAACTTTTTTTATTCCGAGAATAAACTCATAATATTTCAAGAAAAAAAAAGTCATAATATTATGAGAATAAAGTGGTAATTTCATGTTGTGTGTTGCTTCAGAGGGGGAATATCAGAAGCTTCAAAATGAGGAACATGCAGCGTCCTGTGAAGTTTTACTTTAGCAGGTTTCACAAATAAGGAGATACTTCAACTTTGCCATTCACCGGTTTGATTGGTTGTTGTAATATTCTTAATAATTATATTTTTTCTATTGAAATTTTGCATGTTTAATTCTTGTAATATTACAACTTTTTTTTCTTGAAATATTATGATTATATTCTTAAAATTACAACTTTATTCTCAAACTTTCCATTTTTTTCCCCTCAATGTGGCCCCAATACACTGTCGTACAATGTACAGTAAGCAGAGCAGTGAAATAAGAGTCAGACTCATCAGCCTCTGCAAATCTGCCAAAAAAAAACAAAACTGATCCAATGAAAAACAATGCATATGATGGGAAATACTCAACATGGAATATTGGCTAGAATATCACCCGTCCATAGAGGACATACTGTCTTAACCTAGTTAAATCAAATCATAAAGCATCAACAAAACGACCATCCCTTTGTAAAAGATGGTGAAAGTGTGAATCTAGGATTATGTTAAAATGTGAGTAATAATATCAAACGTTATGTAATCAATGCTGGTCGCTCACCGCGTCCACAGTATGGCTGTCCTGGAACAAACTCAGCAGCGTTGACCCAGTCTTGCGCCCCAGGGACAGGTGTTGGCCCACTGGGTTCTGGGTCAGATGGGCCGGCCAGCGAGGCGGAGGGCAGCGGCAGCATCTGGGGGGCTGGCAGCTCCTCGTTTTTTGCTGGTTTACAGTGTTCAAACCTGAAGAGTCACACAGGACCAGGAGACAAATGATCTACGGTTCCACAACAATAATACAATGACGTTACAACCGTTACAGCAATGAGCAGGGACATATAGGGCAGAAAGAGAGGAGCTTGATTACAAAGAGCAAAACCAAAGCTGATTTTAAAGCTCTAAATATGTAAATGATTGTAAAACCCTGCTACTGAAGCTAAACCTACAAGAAACAAATTTCTCCCATTCCAAAAGTACATCAATAAAAGGTTCATAATTTGCCAAATTAAGTATAAAAGGTTTTTCAGCACTAAAATACTTCAACAAAATCCATTTTGAAATATTTAATATTGAAAATATTGAAATATATACTGTGGATTCCTAATGTACATGTGTAGTAATCATGAACTAGTGTGGCATATGGGACAGTACTGCTGTATATCTGCCACTTATAAGTAGGAAAATCAAAGCGTTACTATTGTTCCATTAAAGCAAATAATTACATCCAATAAAGCAGAGCCTTGGCTGAGGACACCACTCAAAACCTGGTTCTGCTTTTTCTTTCATCTCTCCATGTCCTTGCCTCTTTACATGAGAGCCATCAGCCCTGTGGTATCATTTATCTTTAAGCTATTCCAATGGTTTTTGTAGCTTTATCAATAAGGAAATAGTGAATGAAACACGACCCATTAAGACTACACATTAACTTCCAATCATTTCCAAGCTGCTGCTAAAATCCTGATATTATAACTGTGACGTTGTCTGACAACATCACTAAACACATAAATTAAACATAGAACATAGAAACAGTCAATTCATTTTGAGAGAACAACAACCGACAATGAAACTTTATGACCAGGCCGTCGACCAGTGGTGTAACTTCATGACTCAGTCACATGGTGTTCAGTTGAGAAATGGTGTAAATTGATCACTCACTCAGCAGTGTGGACGTAGCTAGACAAAGTTTTCATTTTTAAAACAAAAAACGATTTCTGTCCAGACGAGTGTTTTAGCTCCGTATCAGAGTGTTACTACTCCTTCTGTAGAAACACACCTTAAAACGCATATCACATGACCATTCATGTACACTGGGCATGCACTACACTATTTTACATTGGTTTAAAGAAATGCAAACAAGGCAGAGCGTTTTTATTCCTCCATGCTAACACTCAAAGCTGGAGGAATATTGTTTTCAGGTTGTCCGTCCATCAGTCCCATCCTCGTGGACACGCTACCTCAGTAACGCCTTGAAGGAACTTCTTCAAAATTTGGTAAAAACATTCACCTGGACTCAAGGATGAACCAATTAGATTTTAGTGGTCAATGATCAAAGGTCAAGATCATGGTGACCTCACAAAACACGTTTTAACCATTACTCAAGACTTCACAAAGCAATTATGATAAAATTTCACACAAACGGTTAATACTACTTTAGGCTTTTACCACAAATGACAAGAGACTAAGAGCAAAAGAGCAACAAATCACATACACATCATATACTTGTCATTTTTACATAATACATCTCTATAACTGTTGCATGTTTGTCCGTTATGTCCTAAGTGTTCTTCATGTCACACTTGTTCTTGTTATGTTATCTAACCAATAAAAACGAAAGTAGAATCACTTCCTGGTGGTTGTCTGCCTCCTCCACTCAGACTAGTTTCAGGTCACATCTCCGTTTATCCGGAGTCATAGAAAATATGAACCATTTGTGTGAAATTTTCTCATAATTGCTGTGTGAAGTCTTGACTACCAAAATCTCATCAGTACATCCTTGAGTCTAAGTGGACTTAAAAGAAATTTAAGGCGTTACTGACATATCACATTCACAAGGCCAAAACCATGTTTTGTGATGTCACCACGACCTTGAACTTTGACCTTGCCCACCAAAATCTAATGAGTTCATTCTTTAATTCTGGTGAATGTTTATGCCATATTTGAAGAAGTTCCATGAAGGTGTTATTGAGATAATGTGTCCATGAGAATCGGTTGGATGGACAACCTGAAAACCATACGCTCTGACTGTCGCTGGTGCAGAGGCATAAAAAGTGCAATAAAAGCTTTCCAACAAGTGTTATGAATCTCTCCAAAATCAAATATGGACAGGTAACGACCCCAAACATCTAAAAGTCAGGACAAAATATTACCGAATCAGTGACGAGGATGCCGAGGATGCTAGCAGCTCTGTCCTGAGAGAACAAATAGCTCTGCTGCTGTTACAGCTACGAAGAGAAGCCGAAAGCTCCTCCTCCTGCAGGTTTACAACTCCTATCTTTCCTAAATGTTCAGCCTCTCTGAACTGTTCTGTATTCTCAGTAAAAACTGATTCAAATTGCCATCAGAGTAAAACACCATGGATCAGCTACTGCTCCTGTACAATGTTTATGCCAGTGGTCATGTACCTTTATACTGGAAAGAGTCTACAGACACAGAGGACAAAGACAACAAGATACTGCAATGAGTTTGACCTTCAGTAAGTTCAGTTTGTACAGACCAGGACAGTTTTTAGTTTGATAAGGCCTCAGTCAAAGACAGGACCCAAACTGATCTCCTCAGTGAGGATCACGAGAATGAATATTTTGGTTCTTCTTCTCCTGTAAATAACAAGCATGTAAGTGGAATGTAAACTGGCATTTCCCGTGCTGGGCTGTTTGTAAGTATAGGTTGACACAGAGTGTGATGTTATATCATGTTATAGAGACAAGAACAGATAATGATAAAACAGTCAGTATATGGGACTTCAACAATACAAAGTAATGAAGCTAATCCAGATTACTTATCAACATGTTTACACGCGTACATATTACTCAGGGCCTTATTTCATGTGCTTTGTCCCAGCATTCTGCTGTGATCACATGCTCTGTTTTGGATGAAAAATGAAGGCTTCATGGGAAAAATCATAATTTTGTAATGTGTAAATCACAGTCAAGGAGCTTGATTTATGATCTACATGCTATGTTTTCCTGTTGAGATAGAAGTGTTTTTTTGGGACCCTCATAAAAAGGTCTCAGATCATCAGTTTCAGAAAGAAATGATCGAATACACAAACACCCATTTCATGCTGTGACTGGCCAAATGTGCGGAGTTGAGGGAGGAGCCAGGCACTGTACTACTGTCTCTAGCTCCCTTTTTTCACAACTTGTTACACAAGTGTTCCTGGTACTTTTAATGTGAACAACTGAGTGCAAGACAATGAATGTCTTACTGGAGAGACTGTCTGAAAATATGCACATTATCCCTCTTTGTAATGATATTGCGTCTTCCCTGTCTCTATCATATATTTGTTTTGTTTTTTTTAATGTGGCCTTCTGGAAGAACTATAAAACATTTGATTTCTAAAGTAGTTGGATGGCATGTTTTAAGACAGGGGTCTCCAACAGGTGGCTTTTCGGGGGCCACAGACTGGGCTTGAACCCAGGCCGCTCGTCCAGGACCCAGCCCCAGTGGCACGTGCTCCACCAGGTGATCCACCGAGGCGCCCCAATATTTGATGACTTATTGATTCATCTTATTCATCCGATTTGTTTTGGAGATCAGTTTGAGAACATCTACTGTTGACTATAGGGGTAACTTGACCCCATTTTTCATTTGAATCACGCTGACTGTTGTATTAGTGCAAAAAAACAGTAGTCTGATCTCTAAAAATGCAAATAGCACAGACAAACTTGAATGGAAGTTTATCTTTATACTATACTCAGTGGTGAGATGGCAGGTATCCTATAACAACAGAACAAAAATACATATGCTACACTGAATACTGTTCATTTTCATGCACTGTAGATTCAGAGGTTAAGCCACAATAATTATCATGAAGACTACACTTTACTTAAAAGTAGGAAAATATGTTCATACTCGCACATGCAAAAACAATGACATGTACATATATGACTCCCACTCATTAAGCTCCACCAACACACATAAACACGCACACGCAGTCCAGATCACGAACCTACATATAGCAAGAATAAAATTCACTAGCTAACCAGCTTGACATTATATATTATTGATATGTTGTATTGTATGTATTGTTTAGACAACCGACGTTAGTTGGTAGTCAGTGAACTTAATTGGTTAGTAACTACATTAATTCGCCGTCATGTTGCATTTGAGGACACAGCAACTATGATTCTGTTTGGAATAATACAGAATTAATATTAACAGGGGGGTTAGGGTCTGGGGGATGGGAGGGATTATGAGTCCAGAAGGGGTCTGGTTGGTACAGGATCTCCACTGCACAGCAAGCTCTCTCCATCTGATCCGCTTACTAAAAACATTTCATCTGTCATCCTGAAATATCACCGTAGCCTTCATAGCACCATCATGTTGTATTTTGTGATGATTTTGGTGATACCCACAGTCCTGCAACTTTGTCAGAAGCATACACTTTGCCAGCAGTGTTTTGCCAGTCATCAACAAAGGCTGAAAAAATACATAGTAAACACAGGGGAGGTTCTGAGTATGTATTAATCAGTGATGACAGGAAACTTTGAATCAAAGCCTGTCTCCAATATAAGCCTGCTTCAAATAAAGGTCTGGTTCTGTGATGTAGTTGTTTGTCCAACTTCTCACATTTAAATGAACATAAGAAAATGATCATATGAGAAGTGCTAAAATGTAACTATCCTGCTAATACAGATAAAGCAGAACCAGTGTAATGTAACAATGAGATCACATTGAGGTCTGAATTAAAATCATTATGATGTCAAAATAAAATAATTTAAAATATATTTTATAAGGTAATATTAAATATATATTTTTGTACATTATTATAATATGATTAATGGAACACCCCTGATGAGAGAAGACCCTCAGCTGTCCTCATGGAAGTGTCTGTGAGAGTGACCTCATTATCAAAACAAAATAAGTCAACTCCAGTGTTTCCGCTATATACAGAAATGAAAAGGGTGCCTAAATGTCATGAAGTCACAAGACACTGCAGAGGCCTTTTACTTTGAAACTACAGATACAGGAAGTGAAGACATGTGGTGACACCCACCCGCGGCGAGAGAGAGGGAGAGAAAGAACAGAAAAACAAAAGAGAAGGGAGGGAAAGGTAGATTAACGAGTTCACATTAAGCTAGATAGATTTTAACCTACCAGGTATTTTAAAAACAACCTCCATAGTCGGAGAGGCCATCATGTAAAAACTTCTACTAAATTCATTAGACCCTGCAAAAACCCTATAGCTCTACTCCAAAGTTTGACCCTCTGAGCTAAATTTCCTTATTTGCTAAAAGCTAAAGCTTCTTAGTAATATAAACAGTCAAAATATCTTTTAAAAAGTGTGTTTTTCAGTTACCAAGCTACATTAAGCAAGATCTGTGCCATTAAGTTTTTTAGACAGGACCACATATAATTGATATAAATATAAAATATAATATAATTGATTCATTAAATATAATTGATATTAACATTAGGAAACAACTTCACTCTTCAGTAAATTAATACTACACAGTTGGAAGAAAGTGAAAACCAGTGGAGATATTATCTGTTGAAACGTAAAGACTCAAAAAATGTATTATTATTATTAACTTGACTGTAACTGTAAATCAATCAGCAACAAACAATCTAAACCAACACATGTTGTTAAATTATCCTTTGGGTTTCTCGGACGTTCAGTAAAAATTTCAACTCAATCCAGTGAAAAATAAACGTTTGGTGAGGCTTAGAATAAATTTACATACACACAGATGCAAGGAAATTTATCCAAATGTCAAAAATTTGTAACGAAAAAAGTATTTGGAGTGAATATAATGGAGGTTTTTATATGAATGTTTAACAAAAAAAAAAAAAAACCATGACATGACATGGAACTGGAAGGACCGAGGTGAGTTGGTATGAATTACCCTAAAATAAAGCATTACTAACAGACTATGACAGCCTGTGCACACAGACGTACAAAAGGAAGACCCGGCCTATCTTTCCTCCTGTGTCCTCCATAATGGTAAGCACCATCACAACACACACGGTTAACCAGTCTGTTCCCAGGAATCCATTGGAGCACTGGAAAAGCAGGGAGGGAAATGAGGGAGGAGGGCTGCTGGAGTTACGCATAAATAAATGAGAGAGGAGGGTGCTGCAGTGGAGTGAACCTGGGGAACCCAGCAACAGCACGGGGGGAGGAGGGGAGGAGAGTGGGGGCTCTCAGAAAGAGAACAGGAGGGAAACAGAGAATGTTATGCAATTGCCATGCAGGCTGCAGTGCACTCTGTCTGGCCCTGGGGGCTGCAGGAGAGAGAGAGAAAGGGAGAGCGACACCGAGACAGAGTGAGAAGGCGAGACAGAGCCCGTCACAATAGATAGAGCTCAGGGAATTCAACCATAATAAGCCCCCACAGCGAGAGCTTTTCTATGGACTCGTAATACAGGGTGCACAGCCCCGTGGGGGTCACAGAAATAATGAGGACACCTTCCTCACTCAAGCTCCATCACTATAATGGAGGAATGTGACTTATCAACAGAACAACAACAGCAGCTTTGTGCTATATACACTTATCCAAAGGCTTCTACAGGCAACAGGCCAACTATTCAAGAAAAATGATCAAGTATGTGAATAACTAATACATCCCCGTAGCTGATGGGGTGGTCCTACGAGTGCCTTGGTAACTATGGGGATGCTCCTGAAGCCAGACATGGAGCAGACACTGTCTGTACAAGCAGGCTGCTGCTGTCTGGGTACACTCACACTTAACAACACACTGGGAACCTAATTAGTTTCTCAGAGGACCATACCACTGCATGTTTGAGCCCACTTACTACAAATATACACTGATGACTATATTCAAAGCATGCCGCAGTGTTCTAGATTTTACTCTCTCACTCTTTGATAATGCAGTTTAGACTTTTCAAGCCAGTCTGCGCACATGTAACGATGACATAACTGACACATTAAATAACACAGAGACAGATCAGCCAATAAAGATAATAAATAAAAATATTCATCCAAAATACTTTTAATACTTTACTTAAATACTTTTAATTTATGTTCCAAATGACAAACAAATGACAGAAAGATGTAATTAGAAACAAAATGTTCTCTGGACCATCTTTCACCATTTATAGATCTGATGAAATTGAACGTATTGTTCTTTGAAAACTTGGAATCTTAGAACTTAGAATAACTTACTGTTGTGCTCATTGTGTATGCATTTAGATGATTTAGAAAAAAAATGTATCTGAAATTGACAGTGGGACATCACGCAACTAATTTCCAAATCATATTTAAAAAAACCTGCAACTGACCACATGTGCCACCCTGATCATTCAAGGTGTACACATTTTAATTTATTTCAGTGGGATTACATAGTTAAAGTCTATACAATGGGAAATGAATGTAAACCAAACCAAGTCAAAAATATTAAATACTACAACATGTGTGCGCAAAAGAATATCCATCCATTCACTTGAAGGTCACAGAGGCAATAATCAGTCAAACTGCCATGTATGTATTGCAACTATTGTCCATTCCATCTCAACAAAGGCCTATGGTGAGACCGCCAGGAGGGCGTTTACGCTGGCAGTCATGTTGAACACACACTAGCTCTACAAACACTCTAGATGTTTCATAATACATGATTTCTTCCAGCAGAGCAATACTGTAACACCACAGATGAGTGAGTCTAGTTCCTTGAACCTACACAGGGTCTCCCACAGACACAGACCAACAACATGTTGACATTAGAAAACACCAGTCTCAGGTGTCAGATCCACTTGAGGAACAAACTGCAACACTTCTGAGAAGCCCTGCCAGCAAAGCTGCTGTGCTGTCATTTGGCTGAGACCAAGGCCAGTTTTAGAAAGGAAGTTATTATGCAGCTCAACTGACAACTGGGAGCACTTTTTCAGACTGTGGCAGCTGACTTTGAACATGCCACTTGAGTACAGACATCCAAGCCTTTTTCTTTCTATTTATTTTTCATTTATAACAACGTGGATTTTAGTTTTGTCTTTACCTGCAACGGTCCCCAAACACACAGTTTCCCTTCTGAAAGAACTTGCAAATCATGGCCGCAGGTTTGCTGTTGGTCAGATCGTGGGAATATCGACAGTTGTCTCCTTCTTTACAAAGTCCATGCATGAAATATCTGAAAATACAAAATAAGAGTAAATTTGTCATTTTCAAATCTGTATGTCAAACTCAACTTTGACCGTTTAAAAAACATTGAACAAAGCAAAGCAAAAGTGTGTACCTAAATGCCGTGTTTCACTTTCACACTAGTAACGCAGTCAAGCTAATCTTAGCACGGTCCAAACAAACAAAGCGTCTCATAACGTCAGTTAATGTAGTCTGGATGTGGCGATTAGCATGTGCTATGACTATTATGAAGTTTAAATTCGCTGGTTTTCAGATTGATTAATGTTAGTTTCAAAGTAAAAGTGTAGCTGCTGAGTGTCTCTAAGCAGCTAATTCACATTTACATAAAATATTTTATCATTGTGTTGTATGACAGCTGTTTTACCTAGTCTAATGTTGTTGTCTGGCGTTAATGCTAGCCGTGTGAATTATTCAAAACGTTGCTAGTAACCTGGCGGCATTCTTCCAACTGCACCCTCGTATGTGACCATAACACAGAAAACATAACACCACAGTAGTCCAACGTTAGTACAGCTAGCTAGCCAACAACAGCTGAGTCGAGCCTTAGAAGACGCTGTTGTCAGTCGCCCTCCGGCCTGGTGTCAAAACAGCAGTGGTAGACGATGTAATCATCTTAAATATTTTTAATAATCGCTTGTCTTTTCTTACCTGCAGGTTACGTGTTTGGTCCAACCTCCTATTACTCCTGAAGCCGCCGTAGACGCTGCTGCTGCCTCCGCCATAGCTGTTTATGTTGAGAGGCTACAGCCGGATGTTCCGGACAGCTCCGGTCCAGCTCGGCCTCTTTCGTATTTGTACGATTCAAGTCGGAGTTTGCCGAAAACCTAACTCCGTGTGTCATCAGCGACCGGGCACCATTGCCACACTCACCTGTTATTCATTTATGCACAACAGCTGTATAAACCGGTGTTGTTTCGGCTTCGTTACATAAAGTAAATTAATTTAAATCCAGACGTTGTTTTTGTTTAAAATATCAATTTACTTCTAAATTGTGTAGTATTGTGTGATCTTTTCCTCCCACTGTAAAAAAATAATAATAATTATAATCAAGTTTCAACCAAATGCTTTTTTGAAAGATTTAAATTTTCAAAAAACAAACAGATTTTTCCACTTTTTGCAATCCTAAGTAACTTGCAGAAATAGGGGAGACTTGGGACCATTGCAACAGTTTCACTTTCTCTTAGTTACTCAGATTATTTGGACTAGACCAACAAAACTTAAACTTACATCTGTCTGCTAATAACCCATACCATGTAAAGATAATAATATATGACATATCATTCACAACATTTATTTGAATTCAGATGTTGCAACTGACCCAAACCCTGGAGACAGTTGCAACTTGGATCAGGGACGGTTGCAACGTATTAAAAATACATACAATTTCAATAATTAACTGTTTGCTTTTTGTTTTAATGACCATATTATAGTATAGAATAAGCATATTTATTCATATTTATCAAATAATATTAATTGAGTTTGAACATAGAAAATAGCTTGAGTCAAAATAGGCACAATTTATTATTTAATTGCTAATGATGAACAGAACAGGCAAATATATTATAAGACCATGAGATGCTAGTAAAATTAATTCCCAAAATAACTTTGTATTTTCTTATGCATTAAAACGTGCAATTATTGGTGTTTCTGTTGTGCTATGGGACTAAATTAGCTGCCTATTTGTTATGGTTTCAGTTGTGATTTGGCTGCTCAGCTTGGGGAAAGTTACAATAACTTCTTGCAACTGTCTCCACCCTGTCAGCCATGACAGAACATCATGTACTAAACACACTGACCTTGACACATGCTAACCATGTCATTTAGAGGTCAACAAAACAATGATTCAGACTAAGTAAGTTTGAATTAGGTCATAAAAATAATAAATAAATAAAAATTCTACTGTGATCCAGCACTTTTCCATCTCGAGTAACCTTTTCATTTAAACTAGCGGTGCAGTGATATATGTCACAAAGTGGTGGGTTTTATCCATACTCAGTTTGTATCCTCATTATTTCTGCCTGTGTTATGACTGAGGCCAGGTCAAGACAGCAATATGTCAAACAAGAATTTAAACATGATCTTGGATATTTAGTATAAATAATAACCACAAAACATGTTTGCATGTTTAATTAAGCATTTTATGTTTTCTTCATACTGTTTCATGTTGATTGAACCAGTAGATTATATTTCTATTATTTATCACAGAATGATAATCTAGAATAATAACCAATCATTAATGATTGCACATGTAGGCACACAGTTTAGAAAAAGGTTTAAGCCACTTGGTCGCATGATATTGTGGCAAAAAAAAATTCTATTAAAAAATATATTAATAAATAGACATACTAGTATACAGTATGAAGGGCTGTGTGCTCTCTTTGGGCCATGTAGCCATGTATTTTAGAATAGATTTTGAACAAGTAGATAGCTTCAAAAATCTATTAAAATATTATTCCTAAGTAAATAAAAAACTCCAAAGTTGATGACCATCTCCTTGGTCTCGGAGGTGTTCAGAAGGAGGCAGTTCTTGTCGCTCCATTCACTGAAGGCCATTGCCACAATAGCTGTGTGTATTTCTGGATGTGGCAGGACTCAGAGTTGTATTTAAAGTCAGCTGTATACAGGGTGAACAGGAACGGAGCCAGAACAGTCCCCTGTGGAGCCCCAGTGCTGCTCATCACTGTCCCTGAGACACAGTTACCCAGCCTGACGTACTGTGGTCGTCTTGTCAAGTAATCCACAATCCAGGACGTGAAGCAGGGATCCACCCCCATCCCTTCCAGCTTGTCTTTAAGAATGGGGGGTGGGATGGTGTTAAATGCACTTGAAAAAATCAAAGAACATAATCCTCATGTATAACCACTTGGCTCATTACAACTAATAATATAATAATTATTATAATGATCATATAATAATTATTATAATGATATAATATTATATATGTGTAATCCTGTTGTTATTAATCAAAATGTTACTTGCGTTCTGACCACACCAGTCAACTGTGCATGACATGACGTTGGTGCTGTGGATACTGGTTCTGTCAATCTGTGATGATCAGCTGTTTGTGTTTCGTCGAGGAAGTAGCTTTAGTTGACTGACAGTTGCTCCCTGAAATCTACTGAGGATTGTACTTTTTTATCTTTTGATATACACAACAACAACCTAGAACATACACTGCTCCAAGACTAGATCTGTCTGGACAAACTCCCATTAGGCAATGTCAGCAACATCTCTGTATATTTTTGAAGGAATTATAAAATATTTTACACGTAGTAACTCAAATTCAAGATATCTCCCCTTTAACTCTGACTGGTCAGTACTGTCACTACTAACATCAGTTTGAGATAGTAAAAGATACTCAATGCTAATTGCTAACTGCTAATCTCAGCAGTGTCAAATCTTTCAAAAATACTATATTTCTTTAACCAGCATGGAAATATGTTTGTTCTTCAGTATGGTCTTGTGTTTGTGTCTTCTGTCTAAAACTTTTTATTTAAGTGAATATCTCCATCTACTGTTTGTACTGACTCTCTACACCGCACACCAGTATGAAAGAATGAATGTAAATGAGGCTATACAGCACAGATAGCATTTTTATCCTAAACAACTAAAATTCAAATCCATGATAATTGTACTATTGTATACTGATGCTCTATACTCTAATTAAAAATGTTATTAAAATACATTTGCCTTCGATTCCAAGTTATTGTCAGCATCGTGTGGATTTAACACCTGTAATTTAAAATGATTTTAATTCATTTTCCCTGGATAAGCAGCAGATATTAAATGTAGATTTGGGTTCATTATTTTATTTGAGTACATGATTTAATCAGAGTGTTTATCAACAATATAATTTACCAAAATGCAAACAGTGTAATTAAACATTTCAAAATATCTTATGGCTAAATAAGTAAATAATTCAATAATTGTTTATAGATCACTTATAAGCCAAAAGAACATCTGCCGTGTTGCCAGGTTGTGAAAGCTGCTTTGGTGTTTATCTTAACATAACAAACAAACAAAAATTTATAAATAAAGCCAATTTTGTTTTGTTTTTTTCCCACAACCAGGCAAACTAAGAAGGGTTCAGTCTTGCTTTAGAGCAGTAATAAATGAATTAATCATTCATAAGGACATTAATTACAGCGTTATTTTCCTTTACACAATACAAAGGTCTCAATGGGTGAGGAGCAAGCTACACTGCTAACTCTGCCTTTTCTTGTATGAAAGGTGCTATAATATAATATAGGGTATTAGGGTCACATTGAGGAAAAAAAATAATGACATCATGAGAATAAACTCGTAATGTTACAATAATTTGAAATTTAAAAAAAAAAATTTAGAGGAAAAAAAACAGTTTTTAGGAATACTACATCAACCAATCAAACAGGGGACAGGACAGTCAGTGTCAGCCTGAGCTGCTTCTGGCAGCTGCTGTTTGACTGTCTAACAATAGAATAGACTGTGAAGAAACAATCTTTTCAATGTCATGATGATGATGATGATGATGATGATGATCCAAAAGATTAAGTATCTCCTTATTTGTGAAACCTCTGCTAAAGTAGAATTTCACATTTTAAGGCTTTTGATATTTCCCTTCTCCAACAACGCAGAACCTAAAATAATGACTTTATTCTCATAATCTCAATCTCAAAATCATCAACCCCCCCTCCCTGAGTATAGTTCGGTGCCCCCCTTTGTTGATGCCCCTGCTAAAAGATGGTGATAGTTTCCTGGCATACACTACAATACCCATCATTCTATGCAAACAACATCAACACGATTTGCGCCGACTCACTGAGTTGTGTAGTTGCTCCTGCTCTCTCCTCCTTTCAGTGTAAGATGGTGGTTTGTGTTGTAAATTGGCAGTCAGCACCTTTACATGCAGAGAGAAGAGGCCGGTTGTTTACTGAAGACAAATGTTAAGTCCCGCAGCCTGCAGCTTTCTGTAGGGGAGTGACTGTTACTGTGACGCCGGACTTCTCCTTCAACATCCTGGAGAGGAATCCCACTCAGGCAGGGTGAGTATCCTGACTATCCCAAATATCACAACGCCATAAACTACGCTATCCACAGAATTATCATTGTCATTAGAAGACATGAGTGGCACAGTTCAGCTAAAGCCGTATACAGTTGTCAAGCGACAGCTCATCCGTCACAGCCGCTGCTGCTTCGGGAGGATAGCCGAGGCAGCTTAACTCAACGGTAGGTTGGCTTTGCGGTTATGTCGGGCTCAGGCCGTGTAAACTCCCCTTCCTGACACACTTTTTTGTAAGGAATACAACTTATAAACAACACGTTATTGTGCGAAGAAGTACTAGTGTCTTTCGGTAACTTTTAGCGGGGGTTTCATGTCACGGTGAGCGTTGTATTTCATGCAGTACACCTCTTAGCGTACGTCGTAGAAGACAGACAGTTAGTTAGCGGCATTCCAGCCTGGCAGCTGGTTACCTTAGCTGGTTAGCTTAGCTTAGCCCGGCAGGAGCACCGGCAGCGCCCAGCTGGAGTGACAGTTCACCCGGCACATGAGCGACAACAAAGCTGCCGGTTCTAACCCTCAAACCAACACGGATTCTATGTTCATACCTTTTATTACAAGTGCGTGACAGTTAAACAAGGGCGCTATTTGTCTGTCTATATTATAGCTAAGAGGGTTACAAACTTCGCATACTTGACCTCAACTTCAGTATTAGGTTTCCTGCTCTGATCATATATGATTTGTATGAATAATAGTAGCCCTGTCTTCTTTCGAGCAGATGTGG